GTTTTCTAGACGCTGTCTGTGCTCGACTGTTGCTCCGTGTTGATTGGCTGCTCGTAGTTTGTTGGGGTGACACCTCCTTTGTTCGATGGTGCAAAACGCAGCCATTCAAGCAGCCAGTCCACGGAAACAATGAGTTTCACATGTTTGTGTTTTCACACCACAAAGTTGAGCATAAGCCTGGAAATGTTATCACACCTCCCTAACTAGCATGTTTTCCAGGTTTTTTGCTGGAATCTTGTCTCACAAAAACAACGTTCACAGAAGCTTCCACATAACTCTCCAAGTCTTCTACAGACTGTCGCTGCTGCTGCCGACGGCGGCCGCGTGCAGCCTGGTCTGTGTTTTAACGTTAAACTAACCATACGTACCGACATCACTGGGAGCAGGAACGTCGTCCCAAAGTCACGTTTCTAGCAGGAGCCTCACATTCGGTGCCGGCCAGCATCACAACGTTGTATTTGTTTCCTGTTTCTGATACTGATATAACTTTGAAACGACTGTCCTTATATTCTCACTAAAGAAAAGAATATCGGCCTTTCTACCGTCTGCATGGGTCGACATAAGCTTTGGTGGCTCCTGACTTTGGGTCAGAACCTTTTCCATATTCTGAATTGTAGGTATGTTTTTGCTGCTGTGTGCATGTTGTTTTCCTGTCAGTGTTGACCAAGGACAGCGCTCCACGTCCCAGCTTCACATCGTTTGTTAATAATTGCAGGAGTTTAGAGTTTAGAGGACTGCCTTTGTGCATCTCCAGAAACAGGAAGCAACGTGACTCATTTTGCAGTTTGATGGAGCGGCTGTGAGCGGTCACCCCTTCTACACAGAGCTGTTTTTATCGGAGTCATTATCTACAGTTCCAACTATTTTAAAGCAGCAGACTTCAAACGGTGATACGACTCGAGTTTCTGATTCCTTTTCCTTCTTTCTGGTGTATGGCGGTTTGTTTGTGTTTACGGAGAGGAAACAGAAGAAGGGTGATGATGAAATGATGGAAGGATCTTGTCTATCTTCTCCTCCCCCTCTTCCGTTGTCTCATTTTAGCCCACCATCTGGTGTTGTCTGCTAATGTGTGTGCTCGCTGTAGAACAAAGACATTACACCACCTCCAGACGTGCACACACTCTTACTCAAAGTCACTTTTCTGTGACATACAATCATATCTGCACACATTCCACAGTATAGCGAGTATACATCCTGCTGTGCTGGCTCTCTGTAAAGGCATTTAATGCGCGCACACACACACACACACACACACACACACACACACACACTTACACACACACA